TTCCTTCATCACCACTGGCTCTTGATCATATGGTACTTTCGGAACTATTTCAGTGTTGACCAATTGTTTTTTGTACAGTGACTCTGTGTATTCCTGCCATTTTCTTTTGATGCTTTCTGGATCATTCAAGATTTTTCACATAGCATCTTTCAATATTGGAATAAGGATGACAGGGAAAGAATCAATGCTTTTGTGCTGTGGTGGTGGAGAAAAGTGCTGACTATCCCATGGACTTCCAAAAGAACAATCAGATATATGTTGGAGAGAGTACAACCAGTGATCTTAGAGCCAAGGATGGTGAACTTTCATGTCACATACTTTGAACACATGGAGAGGGGCATCATACTTGGGAATATGGAGGGTCAGCAAAAGAGAGGAAGACCCTCAGTTAGATGGACTGAATAGGACAGAGTTCAGACCTGTTCATAGTTGCTTAGATGGACTGAATAGGACAGAGTTCAGATCTGTTCATAGTTGCTATGAGTCATACTTGACTTGAGGACATGTAACAACAGCAACAACTAATCATTTTTTAAAGGAATGATGCCAACAATCCACCTGCTGGCATACCAGGAGTTAACTTTGTGAGAAAGCAGATACAGAGGTAATTCAGTTCTGCAGGGAACCACTTCATACACATAGGAGATATGTGTTGCTCCTCAGAGATTTTGACCTCTTTGGTTGCCTCTGTTCCCATTCTCATTTTGTGTCTTTTAATTTTTGTGTTTTCCATCTATTTGTCCTATGCCTCTGTGTTTCAGAAGTTTCTACTCTGGTATATTTTTGCTGCAAAAGGAGTAAGGACTTTTTTTTAAGTTTAGTGAAACTTGAGAAGGACAGATAAAGGTGAGGACTCATTTCATTTGCCATCTCAGATCAAGACTTAATGACCCATACTTCCATTTCATTTGGACAAGTGTTCCAGGTGGGGCTTGTCAGTTAGATCTATAAATTGGTTCTGAAATGATTACTAGGTGATTGTGATGTTTGGAAAGTCATCTGACTTCATTGTTAGTTTGGATAAACTTGGTATATGTCAAACGTGTCATTGTAGCAGAGTCCCTGGTTCATTAAATTAATGCACACAGCTGAAAGCTGGAGGCTTGATTCACCCAGAGTGGCCTCAGGAGAAAAGCTTGGTGATCAGTTTATTAAAAATCAGCCACTGAAAGTTTAACAGGATAGCAAGTAATAAATGTTGAAGAGGATGTGGCGAGATAGGAACTCTTATATATTGTTAGTGGGATTGTAAAGTGGTACAACCACTCTGGAAGGCAGTTTGGAGCTTCCTCAAAAAAACTGAACATAGAAATTCCATATGACACAGTTATACCATTGCTTGGAACATATCCTGAGAGAATGAGAACTGAGTCACAAATAGAGACTTGTACACCAATGTTCATAGCAGCATCATTCACTATTGCAAGAAAATGGAAACAGCCTAAATGTCTAACCACAATAGAATGGATTGAGAAATGACGGTACACAATGGAATACTATGCAGCATGTAGGAGCAATGATTTTGTAAATTATAACCTAACTGGGGAGGAACTGGAGAGCATTATACTGAGTGAACTAACACAGTCCCATAAGGACAAATACTGTATAAGACCATTATTGTAGAATGAGTATTAGGATCTAAGGGGGGGGGAAGGGTAGGAGCAGAGGGGTGAGGATTGGCAGGTGGTGGTGGGTGGTTAATTATACAGTAGCACAATTTGATGGGTGGATTAGGAGATGAAGGGAATGGGAAAGATCCAGTGTGAAAAACAATGTAATACGAACTTAGTAAATAAACCAGTATAAAAAAAAATCAGCCACTGAAAATGCCACAGCACACAGTTCTCCTCTGAAACAAATGGGGTTAGTGTTGAGTAGGTTGGAATTGATAGCAATTCTTTCTGGTTATTTGGATTTGAAAAGTGCTGGATCAAAAAATGCTGCTCAGTGTTCAACAAGTCAACATATGATGTGACTCTACTGGTATAAACATAAAGAAGTCCCTAAACTTGGATCTGCAGGGTTAATAATTTAGGGAACATACCCTAGCACTAGGATTTGAGGAAGGAAAATTATAACATGTTTCTTACTAACCTTATCTCCATTAGTAAATCATCTAAAATGCAGTGACAACTGTATCAGCTCCATCCTCCAATTCTATTTGTGACAGAATGTCACTTCTGATTAAGCAGATTTGGAATTTAAAAGTAAGGCTCACCTGCCTATGGAAAAATAGATCTAAGTGTCCCAGCTTATCTAATGTCAGTATTAGCTGTCACTGTACCTTATCCTTGTTTCTGTTTTTCTACTCACCTTGGATGATTTATTTCACCCTTAGCCAGAATTTGAAAGTGTCAACAGAGGTACGCTATATTCTTTAATAACATCTAATTCCCTGCATTCCTCTTCCCTGTGGTTGAGCAGATCACTCAGCCTGCTCCACCCTAGCCCCACCCCCATCATAAAGGAATACCCTCTTTCAGGAGCAATAATGTGAGCTCTATTCCCTTTCCCACTCTCCAGTGAAATAACCAAAGCACATGTCCAAATTTATTTTTATTTTTCATATACAGGAAATAAGACTTAATCAAAAGAACAACAACAACAAAAAAAAGAAACCAAATCTAGCAGAGGAAAAGCATGCACAGATTAGCTTCAAGTTTACCTCCAACCATGGATTCTACAAGACTTAACACACCAAAGACTGGCACTCATTCTACAGGGGATGGGTAGCCCACCAGGAGCAGAATGGAAACAAGAATGGCTAGGAAATGTCACTGGAGTTTGAGTACATAGTACCAGTGTCCACTGGGGTAGGATTTTAGCCCAGGTTCAAAGGAACATAAAATGTATCCTATACAAACAAAGCAATAGAAAATTGTTGAGCACTACTAATCATTTGGTCTCTTTAGTTGATATACTGTCAAAAAGATAAACAAAATTTAGTCATAGAACTATGAGTGCCTGTGCAGCTGGACCCTGTACAATTCCAGGCCTGCTTTTCATGTGCTTATAGATTAAAAAAAGAAAAGGGAGAAGTTGAAGTTAAAACTGCAAAAGAAATGGCCTAGAGGAAGTTGAACTTTTGGGCCCATGTAGTAGTTTGCTGGTTGTAAACAGCAAACATTGTGCTTTATCTTCTCATTTGAATCAAGGAACTGAGTATGGGAGGTTATTGCAGTCAGTAACAGGAGGTCAGAGGTCACAGAGAGATGGTCAAAGACACTGCAGCATCTGTGTTTAGCAAGGGTTTTCTAAGGGGTGTCATTTCGTTGTCAAGAATCCCGAGAAAGCTCCCAGGGTCTATGTTCTCAAACAGTGCAAGAGTAGTGACTTCTGTCTCATTCCTCTTCCTCATTTCCTAGTCCTTGCAATGTGTCCCTGGGTGGTACAGATGGTTACAATGCTCAGCTACTAACTGAAAAATTAGAGGTTCATGTCCACTTAGAATGAGCCTCACATAAATACAGAGGCTGACTGTGGACACCAAACCCTCCTGGTCTGGGGTAATGGAAATATTCAGCTTCTTTCAGTGAGCTATTCTATGCTCAAGTTTAGTGGTTACAATTTCTCAACAGACTCCAGTTAGATAATTTAAAAAGTAAGCATTGGCCCTGCCCACACCCCCCCACCCCCCGACTTACATGACTACACACATAGGGACTTAGGCACCTTCACTACACTGCTCTGTCCTTAACACACATGACTCACTGGGTCTACATCTGGGTTCAAGTAAACTATCAAAATGACTAATTCCACTGAGGAGCAGGATGGTCCTGTTTGTTGCCAGCAACTCCAGGTGAGACATGTTTCTTATCTGGGATGTGCATTTCCAATTATATTGTCTGTATCCTAATTTCATTATATTGCCAGTAAAATGTAATTCCATATTTTTGGAACAAATCTTGCTGCAGCTCTAGGATGTCCTTTTTCATATTGTTCTTTGATTGTTCTGGTTTCTCACATAACTCAATACATACTCTTGCCTTGGGCTCAGGGCAGCAGTCGTTCCTTCCTCATGACACCACAGCAACACTAAGCCCTTAAGTCCCAGTGGAAGTCTTAAGGAGCTGTTCTGCTTTGAAAGTACCCATCAAACCTACGACCTCAGAGATGCCTTTGAAAGCAGCCTGATCTGCTAGGAGTGATGACAGAGCAAGTCGCCCTGAGCATCACACAATACACCCTCATCCTCTGACCCCAAAGGCAGGACACTATCTGAATAATTCATCAAATGTGCCAGGAAAAGCAAAGGCATGTTCTCCAAGTCAGACCAAGAGCTCATAAAACACAGCATTCCAGTTTGGGAAAGGAGCAATTTCCATGAGTATAAATAGCTTCCTGAAGTAGTTCTCAGGTAGCTGCACATATCAACTTCATCTGCCAGAGGTGGAAGCAGGTACTTCTTGACCATAAAATTTGTGTGCATGGGCAGAGTAGGGCCCAGATACAAATCTTCTGCTAAAATCTTCTTCTAAAAATGTTCTGCAAAAGTGACCAGCTAGCACATGACTCAAGGAGTCAATGATCCAACAAGTCTCCTCATATAATCTGCTTCCATTGCATGGCTATGAAGAGGTCTTATGATTGGGTGGAGTGAAGCTGACTTAGCTGGCCAGACAGGGTGCCAGGCCTGAGACCTACTCCACATTGTTACAACCCAAATGGTTATCACTTGACTCTCCTCATCTCAGCCTCTCTTTTGAGGATCTGGCTTCACCACCTTGCAACCTGCAACTTTGGGGTACTGCTGCCACACTGCCAGAGTGCACAGATTACATGAGAAATGGAAATAAGGGAGGAGACAAGATGTAAATGTAGGTATTTGTCCTCCTTGGGAAACTTGAAAGGAAGCTATGCTTGCTTTGAAGAGCTCACAGAAGAATTGCCCTTTGTAGCTTATTAGGCCACTCTATATAGAAACATGGATGGGAACAGAGAGGGCTACGTAAGGACTTGTCAGACCCAGGTGCCCTCAGGTCTCCCTGCGCTGACCCTGCTTACTTGGCCTTCACCACCTGTTCATAGGGGGGTGGAGGTGTGTTGCAGTAGGACGGGGGTGGAGGGTAGGCTGTGCTTCCCTGGGGTGAACTGGACTGGACCTGGAAAGCCATCGCCATGGGGTTCCCAGCAATGTTCATGCCTGGTCCTCTTGGATCGGTGTAATATGGTGGCCCTGGCTGCTGAGCTCCTGAAAGACAGACATACATACAGACAGATGTCAGAGGAAAAAACTGCCACCCACCACATTCAGAGCTTTTGGGTTGTTAGGGCTACAGAGATGAAGGTATATCAGCTTAACATGTTTCAAGGACCCAGTAAGCCCAAATACAATGTGGCATGTGGAATATAGGCCAAGCAAAAGCAGCACACAATGTCCCTGAACTCAAGGAGCTAATATTCTGTGGGAGAGACAGAAAACTGCAAAAGTGTAACAAAAGTGGCTAAATTAGGAGTGACAGCAGTATCAGAGGACAATAGAGACAGGAGCTTAACCACCTTCACCCTAAACCCAATACAATAAAAATAAAGCAGCTCTGCAAAGAGTCAAGAAGCCTGGCTCAAGGGAACTAGAAATGGTACAGTTTGGACCTGAGGAAATCAGAGTCAAGTAAGTAAATTTACAGTTCACTGCTGAAAGAACTGGAAAGAGGATGATGGTTTCCTGATTCCCAGACTGGGAGACGGTGAGATTGGTTCAGGATAGGGTAGGGTTCAGAGCTATTGTTCATAAGGTCACTATGAGTTGCAATGGATTTGATGGCACATAAAAACAACAGGAGAAGAGTCAGTCAGAGGAAACACTGTTTTAAACCTACAGTGTTGTTTCTTCAACTTGTGAAGTGTGCCTTGTATTCCTATCCTCCATAACCCTGGATTTCTCAAGGATGAAAACAAAACTGTTTTGTTTCTGTCTGAATTCCTTTATATTTTATAATTAATGATTATAGGCTTAAAAATGACAAAAACCAAACCAAAACAACCCAGATGTCATATCCCATTCTCTGTATTGGAGAAGGAATGGTGAGGAAGGAATGAGAGTAGTAATAAGGAGGCACAACCAACAGGACCTAAGGGCAGTGTGGAATGGAAGAGGATGGGAAAAGGCCTAACTAGCAAAAGCCTGATTCCAGGTCCAGAAAAGTTAGTGACCCACTAAGCAAGAGAGAGAGGCAGGAGCAAAGCACAGCAAAATGGAAGTGCTTTTTTTTTTTAAAAAAAATTTTTTTTGGAAGTGCATTTTTAAGTACTTTGTGTACAAAAACATGAATCTGGATAAATTAATCAAGTAATTGTACAAGAAGAGAGAGGAGACTACTGACTGAGTTGTAGGAAAGATTATTATTCAAATCATAGAAGAACACAAAATATCTAAGGCAGATGGGAAGAACCCAGAGAAGAAGGGAAGAAGGGGTGTGAAGTAAAGAAGTATAGGAGGTGAGTCATAGTAACAATGGAAAGAGGAATTTTTCAGAAGGAAACATGGACTGATATTCTTCAAAGTAAAAACAAAACAAAAAACAAACCCAAAACCAAAACTCAAAAAAACCTCAAAAAGTTTCACTGCCATCAGGTTGCTTCAGACTCACAGTGACCTTCTTTGGGGTTTCCAAAGCTAATGTGAGAAGACTGTCTATCTTTCTCCATGGAACGAAGAGTGGATTTGAACCACCTAAGATGTATAGCTTTTTGGATGTGATACTGGGGATTTCCCTCACATTCTTTACTCAGCAATTTTAGGACAGTGATAGGTACAGAACTCTAATTGCAGTGAGTACAAAGTTATTCAAGACAAAGGGTGAAGATGGGATATGGAAATGCGTAATGGCTAAAAGGGAACAACAAATGAATGTATATTTTTAAGGATGGGACACAAAGAGGTACAATGATTAAGTTCTTGGCTATTTACCAAAAAGTTGGAGGTTCAAGTCTACTCAGAAGTGATTGAGAAGAAAGAACTGGTGATGTGCTTCTAAAACAATTAACTATGGAGCACAGTTATATTCTGATAGACATGGGTTTTTAGCAGTCAGGTGACTGAAACACAACTGATTTGGTTTGGAAAGAGACATTTTCTAGGAAAGAATTTAAACTCAATAAGGGTAGATACCCTATGGTTCAGCATTTGGACCCAAGTGTCTAGCACAGAACCTGGCACAGAAGGGCATCACACAAATCCTTGCTGAATGGGCAGAGAAACCCTGACAAGAAGCAATAGGGTAGCTTTAGTGGAAGAAGGTCTAGGGAGCTGGATATTGGGCTACTCATTTCTTGACAGCGATGAAGAACAAGATCAATGGGAGAACTGATCAATTCTTTCAAGGGAAAAATAAAAGAAATACCTGCAGAAAGATTCTAAAATCCTCAAAGAAGTGAAAAATGCACAGAAGTCACAAACTAGCAAAAACATGACATGGAGTGACAAATGGTATGGGATTCAACATAGTATGGACTTTATATACATAGATGTAAGAGTTATGGTACAAAAGTTATGGAGCCAAAGGGATGCTGATAACATCTACTTACCCTAGAAACAATGAAGCACTTGAGAACAAATCCTAGGTATTGAAGGTTAAAAAAAAAAAAATAGAGCATTCCCTGAAGAAATTGGCATTAAAGGAACACTGTTACTTGAGTGAAACAAGAAGAAAGGACTGGGAGAGTCTTTTGTTGGCAGTGTCTTTTGTTTCTTCAAATATCCTTCCAGTTACCACTGAGTGGATTCCAATGCATAGTGCCCTATGTGTATGTGTGTGTGTGAGAGAGAGAGAGAGCTAACAAGCAGAACTATATGCTCCAATTTTTTATATATCTGATGAGATGCCTCTATGTAGACTTGATATCATTAATATACCTACAAGTAAAATATTGCTGAAGATCATCCCCAAATGGCTAGAACAATATATGACAAGAGAACTGCCAGAAGTTCAAGTTAGGTTTAGAAGAGATCATGGCACCATGATTATCATTGCCAGGATCAGATATATCTTTGCTAAAAGAAAAGGCCCTTAAAAAGAAAAGAAAAGAAAAGAAAAGAAAAAAGTAAAGGTCCCTAGAGACCTAGGAATAGATGTGACCACTGTCCTATCCTTTGGCATCTTCACAATCTCTGACATACTTAAGTCCACTGCTGTAGTCATTGTGTCAATCTATGTGGTTGATGGTCTTCCTCTGCTTCACCAACACTCCACCTTCCTATGCATAATGTCCCTCTCCAAGGAGGGACATATGCCCAATATATGTATATAAAAGGTCAAGGACTTCAGTCTTCAATATGGATTGAAGCTCAACAGCAAGAAAACAAAGATTCTCAACACTGGGCCAAAGGGCAGCATCATGATAGACAATGAAGAGATTGAGACTGTTAACAGCTTCAGCTTGCTTGGCTCCACAATCAACACTCTTGGTACCAGCAGCTGGGAAATCAAAAGACGAATTTTGCATTGAGAAAATCTGCTGTCAGAGACTTCTCCAGAGTACTGAAGAGCAATGATGTCAGTCTAGAGACTAAGGTGCACCTGTTCCAGGTCATAGTCTTCTCAAATACTTGCTATGCATCAGAAAGCTGGACAGTGACTAAGGATGATAGAAGAAGGATTGATGCCATTGAGATGTGGTGCTGGAGAAGATTACTGAACATACCATGGACTGCTAAGAGAAAAAAAACAGGTCTATCCTGAAGAGGATGAAACCAGGCTGCTCCTTGGAGGAAAGGAATTTGACATTTTGTTTGATATATTTTGGGGTATATTGCAGGGAGGGACCAGTTCTTGGAGAGGGACAGCAAGCCTGGAAAGTTGGAGAGATGGCACAAGAAAGGAAGACCCTGGATGAAATGGATTGGCTCAGTGGCTGGGGTAATGTGTAAAGGTGTGTCAGAGACAATGAAATTGACTCAAGACAGAGGAAGGTTCAGACCATTGTGTATAATGTTGCTGTCCAGTTGGAGTCAACTCGCCAACATATAAAAAATGTATGCAAAGTGAAACTGAATCACCTTTGCTCCAAGGAACATTCTGCTCATTTGCAATGAACAAATCATTGATTGGACAGAATTCTATCATTCTATTTCCAGTCTCATTTCTATCACCAAGTTTGTGTTTCCTGAACACCGATCTTTCTTTGTTGTTCTCAAATTTTGCATTTGTGTTGAGAATCACAAAGGAGGAGGGGCAGTTGCAAACAGACCCTAAACATTGGAACGTGGAATGTGAGAAGTATGAATGTAGGAAAACTGAAGATTGTTAAGGAAGAAATGGAATGCATAAATATTGACATACTAGGCACTGGCAAAATGGAATGGATTGACATGGTACATTTTTAATCAGACAATCATATGATATACTATGCTGGAAGTGAAAAGGAGGGAAAGAACAGGGCTGTATTTATAGTTAAAAAGACTATTTCTAGATCCATCTTGAAATACAATGATGTGAACGACAGAATAATATCCATACACATACAAGGAAAATCTGTTAATACCACTATCATTCAAATTTATGCACCAACAACCAGAGCCAAAGAGTTGGAAACAGATTACTTCTACCAACTGTTGCAACTGGAAGTCGAACAAACATGTGATCAAGATACATCAGTAATAATGGATGACTGGAATGCACCAAATGATAGAACTGCAGAATACATTAAGTAACAGTTAACAGAGTTGAAGAAAGAAATAGACAGCACCACAATAGTGGCAGGAGATTTTATCATACCAATCTCATCAAAGGATAGGTCAACTCAAAAGAAACCTAACAAAGATGCGGAAGTTCTGTACTGTACAATCAGCCTACTCACTGTGAATATATTCTGGTCACTGCATCCAAATAAAAGTTAATTTACTTTCTTCTCAAGTGCACATGGTGCATTTCCTAGATCTGCTCATATATTAGGCACAAAGCAAGCCTCACAAAATTAAAAATCACTGATATAATACAAAATATCTTTTCAGACCACAATACCAGAAAACTAGAAATTAATGATAAGAAGATGCTTTTAAAATTACTCATACGGAAGCTAAATAGCACTCTGTTAGAATGCTGTTGGATTATAGAAGAAATAAAAAAGTTCCTTGAAGTAAATTATAATGAAAATACATTATAACAAAACCATAGAGCTAAGGCAGTCCTAAGGGGACAGTTCATAGTAGTGGGCAAACACATAAAAAAGGAAGAAAGAAGCAAATGTAAT